TTCTACTGGTTTTATCCTCTCTGGTTGTTTTTACGAGTGGTTATAAAATCCAAATCTCCCTTTCTGTCTCCCCTTTACTATGCGGTAAACAAAGAACACTGCTTGATATATGTGGCTGCTCAAATCTCTCCAATCCAGGTCCATAAAGCAAGTTTTTCTGAGGCAGTTAACAAAATATTCTCCACCAGTGCGCACATGTAATTTCCATCAGCATCAATAAGAGCTATTTGCACGTAATGAGGTAGAAATGTGTGCCACATTGTGTATGTCACACAAGAGAATCTCTAAAATGGTTCACATTACATTTGTCTGACTAAAAAGGCTATTAAAAGTGCCTTAGATAAGTTTTCCAAATCCAGATGAATATAATAAGCAGAGCCCCAGTATTAACAGAGTATTTGTGTGTTATGTGCTTGACATTTCTGAATGGTTAAAATAAGTTTCAAGAGCACAGCAAGCCCTAAATACAGCATTATCTGGTAGCCCAACTGTCTTTGGAGGGTATCCCAAAATGCTTTGCAGAGTTATATGCCACATTTCATTCAGCAATAAATAAAAACAGAGGAAGAGCAAAATTAAGAGGTGAAGACAAAGGAGAAAAACATGCTTGCTGAGCTTATAGATGGTGTATCTGTTTCTCAGGGCAGCATCTCTATGCATGAACCGAATATTGGCACAGCTGAAATCAGTCTGGCTCACCTGCATTCATATTGTTAAAATAGGTGTTAGAATGATAAGAATGTGTTTGGTGTTCAGACTTTATGGAATACTTAGGGTTAGGGTTACGGCACACATTGATTTCACTTATAACATCTGTACCCTGTGTTACAAGGTAATAGTTGGGCACTTGCAGTATAAACCTTTGTAATCATGAGACAGGAGAGAAACATTAGCTAGGGTGACACTCTGGTCTCCGATAGACGGTGTTATGTCCTGCCTGACAAGGAATACCCAAAAGACTGTCTGTGATGCCATGGTTAGGCTGTTATAGTGCTCAGGGAGTTTACACTTGTTAATTGGTTGATAAAAGGTAAATCTAGAACTCACCACCACTTTGGAGTTTGTGCCCTGGGTCTGAGAAGCCCATTCTAGGGTTGGGGCTCATGCTCCTGACTCACTGTGGGCAGCTAGACAGTGTCAGTGAGGCAGAGAGGTACAGAAAGGCTGTTCCAGATTACAGGAGCTTCAGGAGAGGAGACTCTAGCACCAATAATGGGAAAATTGTGTGCAGGGACAAAGAAGAGTCCAATGATAAATCAGCAGATGGCCCAAAAGTGGAAGGGAAGGAACAAGTGAAGCTAAAGGTCTATGAGGTAGGTGAGAACAAGTCAGTGGAGATTATAAACATGGTGTCAACATCATTATAGTTTTAGTAATATTAAAAATAAAGACTATGTCTATAGGATCTCATACCCATATGTCTACTAGAAAATACATGTATATAATGTTGTACAGTATATAGTATGCAGTATAATGTTGCCATGATTTTGTCACGAGTCTCATGATAATTATTGTGTTCTGTAAAGCTCCAACTCCCAAAGTCAAGTAGATATGTGATGATTTCTGCCTTCATTCTTAAAGAAAAAATGTAAGTTTCAAACCCTTGTGGCTCTGGAAAAAGCTTCAAAATGTGAACCCCCCCCCCCCCACACACACACAGAGACCCTACAGGCTCAAAAAGCAGAAGGCAATTCAAAAAAGAACATCATTACACAATCTCACAATTTTAAAGCCAGTCTCATGACTCATGATTTTGGAACCTTTGGGGTTTGGCCAAATAATTATATAACTAATTTTAGTACAAATCCTTGTGGGATAATTGTCCATAAATGATACCTCCCTTTTTAACAGGTGATGGCATTTTTAAAAATCCCCTTTGGCACCTATCTGTATTTTTAGGTACCTAAATATATCTTAAAATTTGGCCTTGAGTCTCATACATCATGGTATATATTCTCTTCTCAGAGTATCTTCATAACTCCTATTAAGATTAATGGGTGTGATATGTGCAGATAGGTGCTCTCAACAATTATCTAGTTGGAACTGATTGAGCTGTTCATGATTGTCAGGTATTTGGAAATTGAAAGGGTTATTGTTTTTAATAACGTACCTAACAATTAAACAATATTTACAATAATAACTCAGAGCAGGAGTTCTCAATCTTTTACAGACTGCCATACCCCATTCAGGAGTCTGATTTGTCCTACATACCCCGCATTCAGGAGTCTGATTTGTCCTGCATACCCCTAAGTTTTGCCTATTTAAATATTACTTGCTTACAAAATCAGATATAAAAATACAGATGTGTCATAGCATACTTACTTTCTCATGTAATTATAAAATAAATCAACTGGAATATAACTATGGTACTTACATTTCAGTATATAGTATAAGCAGCAGGATAAACCAGACATTATCAGTATGAAATTTTTGTTTGTTCTCATTTTGCTAGTACTTTTTATGAAGCCTGTAGTAAAACAAGGCAAATATGTGGATGAGTTGATGACCTCTGCGTACTCTTGGCTGAGAACAACTGATTCAGAGCATCCATCAAGTTTTCAACAGAAGAACCAGGCATGGGAGATGGGTACACAGAATCCTTTTTACTGTTAATGGGAATAGTTCTGGTACCTCTCTATGTGTGAGTGGAAGACTAGATCCTGTATTACGTAACATGCCAACAACAATAATTAATCATTTGCAAAATGATTAGGAAAGTGAATTGTGTACACTCCATTTCATCTGCTGTTGAGAAAAAAGCCTGCACTCCATACTTCATGACACCTTTTCCAGTTCACTGGGTCCTGTGCTGAGTACAAAGTGGCTGGTCCTGGTTATTTAATGTACTGAGAGCAGACTCCTCTCAGAGCAGAGTGGGAACACCACCTGATTACAACCCTCCATCTCCCGCCCCACACTTATTCAGCCCTCTATCTACCTCTCCTTCCCACAGGACATTTTTCATTCATATTTTGAAGGCATGACTTCTGGGAAGTAACCATGTACCACATGCCTTGCTCCTCATTCAGTATTTCAGAAATTTCAGTATTTATATCTACCTATGGTTATATATTTGCCACTGTCAGATAGATAGATAGATAGATAGATAGATAGATACGCACACATTTGCAACTATCAGAAGCTGGGTCAAGATTTAGCAGCTTGAAACCTGTAAGGGTGACAGGTTTTTTTCTGTTTGTTGGTAAAAGCATGTTGCAGATTTTCTGTCTCTTGCTTCAGAGGTAGTACTGGGATAGGTATGGAAGAGTTCAATACCAGGGCAGAGGTAACTACTTGTCATTGATTTTATCAGTGTCCTAGAGTTAGCTCTAGATTTGGCAGTGGAGAACTTGGGTCAGCTTCATGTCCTGGCCTAAAACTCTTTTGTGTAGCTTCAGGAGCACAAATTCTCCTCATCTGCTTCCCCATCTTCAGGCCAGGGGCCAGGAAGGGGCTTGTGAGGGGCATGAGGAAACAGGTACTTTTGTACGGCTCCAAATTATGCTTGAAGCCTTTTTAGCCCCCAAAACCTCCCAGCTCAGGAGAATGGAAAAATCATTTGTCATCTCTCTATCTCTTCAGCTGCAAAGGCTGTAAGTGTGGCTCAGTCAGATTGCACCAGATCTTTGGCACAAGAGCCAGTTGGCTAGTAGGTCTGTAGCTCCACTAATATCTGGACTTTGTTATTTCTCAGGAAAAATGTTTGAAGTTACTTTTAAAAGCCTCACACCTAAGCCTAGCACTGCTGGAGGAGTGTTGCATGCCCACATAGCAAGGAGGAATGTGACATGAAGATAAATAACAAATGTATTAAAAGAAATGTATACACTATTCCTACTTTTTGGAGGTGGGCAAAGAGGGGACATGCTGATATTTGAGTCCACTGGTCTTGCCTTTGGGTATGTCTACACTGCCACCCTTGTTTGAACTAGGGTGGCTAATGTAGGCATTTGAACTTGCAAATGAAACTCGGGATTTAAATATCCCGGGCTTTATTTGCATGTTCCCAAGAGCCGCCATTTTTAAATGTCCCGTAGTTCAAACTACCTGCCCACAGCTACATGCGGCACGCACTAGGTAGTTCAAATTAAAGCTCCTAATTCGAACTACCGTTATTCCTCCTGCAAGGAGGTTTAATTAGGAGCTTTAATTCAAACTACCTAGTCTGTGCCATGTGTAGCCGCGGCAGGTAGTTCAAACTACGGGGCATTTAAAAATGGCGGTGCCTGGGAACATGCAAATAAAGCCCTGGATATTTAAATCCCGGGCTTCATTTGCAAGTTCAAATGCCTACATTAGCCACCCTAGTTCGAACTAGGGTGGCAGTGTAGACATACCCTTTGAGACTTTAATGTTATACAGAACAGAATCTGCTGTATGATCTCTGTCTCTTCCCCCACATTGCCTGATGCAACAAGGTGACATGCAATAATGTGAAAATATATATTTAAAATATTTATTCAAACCTGGAAAGAAGTAAGTTGGACAGTAGCCAATTCCCCATGTTTTCTGACTACTTGTGTGTTGCAAAGTTCTGCACTTTTAACGACAAGTGGAATTTCCACACTTGTCCGTTCCACACTTTTTTATTGGTTGAGTTCACAGAAAGCCCACATAATTATTGTATAATGCCTTCATGAATCAAGATCTTAGAGTGCAATTCAAGTAGCAGTAAAATAAGTGTGCTTCATATGTTAACAATTATGGGCTAGATTTATAAAAGCATTACACATTGTTTGCTTTGGGTTTTCTAAGTATTTTATTCATAAAAGTGTTTAATGCACCTAAAATAAATCCACCTTCCTTCTGAAACTCATTAAACTTGTGTCTTTCTGCACAGATCTTGCCATTATGTATCTTAGGAATGTATCGCACACAACCAAGCTGGGGCTTCCTGCTTGGCCTCTCATAACTTCAAGCATTTTATTTTTCAAAGTAAAAAGGCAGGGTTGTGAGTTAGAAACAGCTGATGCCATGTCTAATTTGTGTTCCATTTGCAGATTTTCAAGCTATAGTTGTAGGGGTCCTCCAGCGCAGGTCCAATCTGTCCACAAAGCCAACGGATCTATACCAGCTAAGGATTTATGCCAGCTTACTATATGTAAGTCATGTCTGAATTTGTACCAATGGGAGAATCAGAGTGGCCATAGTTAATAGATGAAGTGCATGCTTACAGTACCTCCACTGATGTCAATGAGCCTGTGATTCTTCTTATACAGTTGCAAAGCTCCAGTAGTAATTCCGTTCAAGTCAGTGGAGTTAGAGCAGTTTAAAAGTGGTGTGAGATGAGAATCTAGCCCAATATGTTTACATTTCCTATAAATTAGGGCTGAATTTGGCCCGCTGACTTCAATAAGAGATGTACAATAGAAGGTGTATAAAGAATGTATGAACCGACCCAGATACTTCTGGTATATTGCAGGCATACTGTAGACAGGAACATGCGATACTGATCTTTTGTACTACAAAACTGTTCTGTACATTATCAAACTAAACCAGACTATTTTTCACACTGCTAAAATAGTACATAGTATAACTGCTTTCTAAACAATCATGATCAAGTTCCATTTTGTTGACAACATTAATTTAATTTCCTTTAAAATAGAATAATAGAATCATAGTCCAGTCCCCTGCCCTCATGGCAGGACCAAGCACTGTCTAGATCATCCCTAATAAATGGCTACCCAATCTGCTCTTAAATATCTCCAGTGATGGAGATTCCACAACCACCCCAGGCAATTTATTCCAGTGTTTAACCACTCTGACAGTTAGGAAGCTTTTCCTAATATCTAACCTAATCCTCCCTTGCTGCAATTTATGCCCATTGCTGCTTTTCCTGCCATCAGAGGCCAAGGAAAACAGTTTGTCTCCCTCCTTGTAATTAGGTTGCCAGGTCTTCAGTTTTCTACTGGACAGTCCGGTATTTGTGCCCTCTGTCCGGTAGAAAAATTCAGAAAATACCGGACATGTGCAATGTCCAGTATTTTCTGAATTTCCGGCTGGGTGCTGGACGGAAGCCTGGCAGGGGTGGGAGAGCGACTGGGAGGCAGGGCCGCGATTGGTGCTGGGAGACCTGTGGTTGCGTGGAATGAGGTGTAACAGTTAACTCGAACTAAAGACTTAGTTCAAGTTAACGTTTGACTGCTGCGTGTAGCTGCTGGCAGTTAGTTCAGACTAAGGGGATTTAAAAAGGGCGCCCGGATGGGAAGATGCAAATAAAGCCTGGGATATTTAAATCCTGGGCTTCATTTGCAACTTCGAATGCCTACATTAGCCTCCCTAGTTTGAACTAGGGGACTAGTGTAGACATATCCTATGTGTGAAACTGATTGTTCCTTCCTAAGTGGAGCACTTTGCATTTGTCTTTATTAAACTTCATCCTGTTTAGCTCAGACCATTTTTCCAATTTGTCCAGATCATTTTGAATTATGACCCTATCCTCCAGATTAGTCGCAACCCCTCCCAGCTTGGTATCATCTGCAAACTTAATAAGGGCGCTTTTTCTATGCCAATATCTAAATCGTTGATGAAGATATTGAACAGAGCTGGTCCTCCAAAGAATTCATAATATTCTAACCGGTCCCCCAAAGTTCATGTAGCATCACAGGCCTCCTATGGTTTATTTTTCCTGAGCGTTTTCTCCTCTTTGCACTGCACACTGGGGAAAAGTATAAAGCCTTTTGTAAACTCTAAAGGGTTTTTTGAGGTCCCAGATTTTTCATACTCCTTTAATATGAAGGAATGTTATGGGCTTGATCTAAAGTCCACTGAAGTCACTTGAAAGTTTATAATTTATTTCAGTGGGTTTTAGATTAGGATTTATGTGCTGCCATCTTGTGACAAATCAGATCCTTAAAATGGGAGCACTTTATAAAGTTTCCAGGCCTGATTTTCTAGCCCGATTCTGATCTTGATGACCAATTTATCCCAACTTAACTCCGTTGCCCTAGGTGGAGCTCCTCATGAGGTCACTTTAGGGAAGATCCAACTCATGTCCATTGTGCACACAAACAAACAAATGTGAGCCTGTGTTCAGAACACGAGTGAACATCCAGAGGCAAATGTGAGCCTGTGTTCAGAACACGAGAGAACATCCAGAGGCCAGTTGGGTGCATACTTGACCACTTACAGATTTAGTTGTCCAAAGTAGGTATGCAGCTCTGCACACATTTGTTGCATATGCAGTTCCATGTTTGCAGTTTAGGAAGTCAGGTGCTCTGCATTCAAAGCACTTTCCTCAGAGGCCCTTCAGTCCTTCCTAGCTGTTGCTGTTTGCTACATGTCTTCATGAAACTAATACCAGGCCTGGACCCTCCTCTGATTTGAGTTTATGTATTTATTTATTTATTTTCACGTGCCTAAGGCCTGAGCCTATTCCCAACAGACTGCAAGGGCAAAATTCCCATTGGCTTCAGTGCACTTAACTCACTGCTCTAAAGTTTTTGGAGCCTTCGGTACTTGTAAAAAAAAGCCAAGCATCCTCACTGACGCCATTAAAGAAGACATTTATAGAATACAGTGTTTTACATTTGTTTATATCATTAAAAATTCCAAGCCTATAAAGGTCAGTTGGGTTTGCAATTTGGTCTCACACAACACATTCCCAAATCTCTCGGGGTTTCATGGGGAAATCCAGACAACTGCAGACTGTTTGATTTAACTCTAGGGGGCACCAGATACACTGTTTTGTTTTATGGTCCTATGTCACCTTATTGGTTTCTGTCTGAGGGGATACCCAAGTCTATCACATAGCATTAAGTGACTGCCTATATATTTTCTATGTATATGATTAATGAATGAAAGAAGCAAGCCTTGTAATGACTCCTTTCAGGCAGGGACCGATAGTGTTATATTAGATTAACTCAAAGAAAGAAGATTATTATGAAATATGAACAATTACTGTTTATATACAACCTGATGTTTTTCTAGTTAATGTACATTGCTCCTGACTGGGCCTGATTCACTACTGTTTTGCATCCTGTGTAGCTTTTTACACTCATGTATATTAAATGCTACCAGATCAGAATGATAGGAGTTTATACCCACTGTGTAAATGACTCTATAAGAGGCAAAGCACTGGAGAATCAGTCTTGTTATTTCTGCACTGAATAAATATGGACAGATGCTGCTCTCATATTAGTGTTGAAGCTGCTATAAAGGACTGAACCATCATAGTTGTTTCATGCTGTGTTGTTGTAGCTGTGCAGGTCCCAGCATATTAGAGAGGCAAGGTGGTGAGATAATATCTTGCATTGAACCAACTTCTGTTGGTGCAAGAGATGAGCCTTCAGCCTTACCCAGAGCTCTTCTTCAGGTCGGGGAAACATGCTCACAGTGTCACAGCTACATACAAGATGGAACAGATTGTTTAGCATAAATGGAGGAAAAAAGTGTGTTCATGAGATGGATGCTTCAGACTTTTACCTCTAGAGGGGGATAGATGACCTTTGTTCTACTATTATTCATGTTTCCTTTAAATTCTAATTATTGACGCTGTCACTATAAATAGGATATTTGGCTTAGCTAGAAACAATTTATTATGACAATACATTATAGTGATTCTTTACAGGCTATGCATTTAAGAAAAATAGCATTTTCTGTGTTTTGAAATTAATTGAGAACCCTTTTGCATTCCTCTAGCTATTATTAAAGCATGGCCCTGCCTTCAAATAGGTACAAAAATTGAAAAGGTAGCTGTCATATTCCGCAATGTATTTCAGTAGTGGAATTAAGTAGCATGGTCATCAAATTTGGTATGAATACCACATTTGGTATAAATACCAACTTATTTCCTAAATAGGTAGCTAAGATATACCAAATTCTCTACTAGTATATCTCTAATGAAGTCAGTGGATTTTAATTCAGGGATGAATTTGGCCCTGAGACTGTGTCATTTTGGAAGAAGCTTTTTGTTATGTGTAGGAGTGTTTTAAAAATTACAAAGAAACTTACCATCAGCTTCTTTAAATAAAAAATGAGTGTATAGATTAAGATGCCTGCATTTTATTTTTCTGTGGTTCTTTAAATTTGTGAGTCTTATCAACTAATGAAGAAAAGGACTTCTCCTTCACAGCAGAAACGTGCCGTCATGCTCTTTGTCTTGTAATTTACAGAGAGTTTGAAACACTGGAACTTGTGAAAACTGTTTTGTAATTAATGGGAGTGAATAATTATTTGTGGCAAAAATGCTACTAACAAATGTTGGGAAATATTATTTTATTTAGAAGTAATATTTACATGCATTTCATGTCATTAGCTAAAGGCTAATACTATCTAATACCATATTATTGATTTTAAAATAAGTTACTCATGCTAAAGCATTGGGTCTTGACCTTGCAAAGACTTATTCATGTGGGACTCTATGTGGTGTTTAAAATTAATCATGTGCCTAAGTCTTTGCAGGGCCTATGGCTTGCATTACATCCAAAGGATGTTATAGTATCCTCTCCCACTGAGGATACCTCTCCAGGGGAGGGAACGTCAGTTGTTAGGAAGAGGCAGGTGTTAGTAGTGAGTGATTCGATTGTCAGAAACATAGATAGTTGGCTTTGTGATGACTGGGAAAACTGTATGGGAGACTGAGAATCTGTTGTTCCCTGATGTTGAAATCCTTAGGTCATATTACCTACATAGCACTGTAAAGGGGCTCGTCATGAAAATTAGAGGGAAATACAAAGAAAGTGCCATAAAAACAACCCAAGGGTGCAACTTTGCAAAGTACCTAGTGTTCTAAACTCCCACCAAATTCACTGGGAGTTGAGGACACTCAAAACCTCAAAGAATTGGACTCCAACCCATAAGATGATCTGATGTGTGCAGAGAAACTGCTAGTTTAGTTTGTGCATGTGTGTGTGTATGTGTATATAGGACTAATGGATGTGTGGGAAAGTGGACACCACATACATACATGGTGTTAATAAGGAAGGAAAAGGCGTTGTTCCTCTGTAGCATCGGAGACAAACAAAGGAATAAAACAGAGACTCGAGATAGGAGTTAAAACATTGTGAAATAAAAGGAATAACACTGTGAATAAACTGTTAGGGCGAGGTGCCACCATTGCTTTTCCAGAGAGGTTTCATGGAAATCTATGCCAGTTTTGAG